TGGGGACTAAACCACCTCACCTCCCCACACGCGAACGCACAGCAGGGGCACTGAGCTGGAGAGATGTGTTCAGCCTTTAAGAACCACAGTGGCATGCAGAGGGCTCCAGAGAGAAGCGACTCCTGGCAGGAGAAGTAGGCTTTTTCCCCCTATGGTTTTAGGACGTAGCCGTGGGAAAACTAGGAGCTGAGTACACAGGAGTCCAAGTTAGCACTGCCAAGGAAATGAATTCAGCAGGCCCAGCATTTACATCAAGACTTTCTAAATCAACCATCAATGAGCTTGTCCACAGGCGTGAGATCCTTGTCATTAGGGCAGGGAGCCTTTCCCTGAATAACACTCTAGAGCAGAAACTACCTCAGGAAGGTCCTAGCACAGGATTTGAGATTTTTCTCCAAACACTTGTACACAGGAGGGAAAGTGAAATCCCCAGTGAACCAGGTTCCATTTTAATTTTTGTGTGTCCATAGAGAAAGAAATAATACTGCCAACTCTGTTTCCATTACAGACAGTATGTAGGACTTTGTTTTCTGCTCTCTGTGGCAGAGGAAAGGAGTTGACAGCGTTTTTGCACAAAAAACATCAGTAGCCCAGTACAGAGTAGACTGATGAATTGAGCATTAAAGACATTTATCCATTTTTTTTTCATGAAGAAGAAAAATAATCCATGGCAATAATTCAACTGCCCACAAAAAGCATGACTCCTTTACAAGAAAAAACAGCTCAGGTTGGGACAGGCAATGGCAAGAGAGAGACTCCTGTAATTTAAAAATGCCAGTTATGCATCTTTTTACTTCCAAAGGCAAAGACATCTTATCCAGTGAAACAAGCCAGATCACATCAAGGTGAATTTCCAGTAAGATGCTATGGTTTACAGAATAAGTCATAAATACTTGATGTGCCCTTTAAATATCTTAGTTCCCTCTCTTGAAAAGAATCATCCTTGCACAGAACAATGAATCTTGCATAGGAATTCACTGCTCTGACCTGCTTCCTTAACCCCCAGTTTAAAAAGGGTCCAAATAACTCTGATCTAAGCATGTTTTCCCATCTGATTTCCAGAATGAAAAAGGTAAACTAATGTTTTCCAGGTATTGTTTATCCTGCTTTGAGACAGAATGATGGATTAGGTAATCAGAGTCTCTTCAAGATTTTTTTTTTAATTACTTTATCTTAGAACCTGATTTTGCTAGCATCAGTTCCCCCAAAAGTGTTCTTTCCTATGTATTTATGTTTATATTCACTTAAGTAGCAGACTTCTGAGACTATCCAGAAGTAAAATATCCCCTATTATTGTCTGAGTTGAGGCTCTATATATCCTTTGCAGAAGATAACATTACAGACCTTTTTAAGGACACTTCTGCTATCCTGTCTGCAGACACTGATCCTGTGATGAAACTACAAAGCTAGGTGGAGAGAGACTGGCAGAGTGGCATGGTACACCCAACTTGCAGAAGGGGCCTTTGCTGAACACAGCCTATCTTGCCCATGTCATCACCACAAGAAACATTACCTTTGCTATTACCTATATTACTTTTGAGAGCGACCTGGCCTTGAGGTGGGGGTGGATAAGCAGCAAATCGGACGCGAGCCCAGCTTCAGGGCTGCTATGGCACATACGTACAGATGCAAACTTGGGTACTTCTGTGGGTTTGTCACCACAGGAGCTGAGTGTTTTTAACACAGCTATGCCTTCTGAAGTGGGAAATAAGCTATTATTGAAAGTCACAAGTGAGGGATTGTGACCCAACTATCCTAAAGGGGTGCCCACAGAGCAGGGAAGGGACCAAAGCAGGTTAGCTGTGCTGGCATGATGTGCTGGCCACTGTGATGGCTGTGTTGGGTAGCCTGGTGATCTCTGCCTCACTGAGGTGTGCCCGGGCAGCCAAACCCTCAGGGCATACCCAAAAGGCATGTAGGGTCTTAGTACCAACAGATAATAGTACTGGTTTGCTTCATAAGACAGACTATGAGGGTATGGAGCTTATGACTTACTTCTAATGGTGGCCATAGGAACACAGAGATTCTATCTACCCAGTAAAAGTAAACTTTTCCATATAGAAGATTAAAATCAAAACTTAAATAATTACATTGTCTGAGTGCATATCAAAATATTTCAGGAAAAAAAGCAGGAGTTTAACACCAGAATTAAGTGATTAAGTGAAAGGAAGGAAGAAAGGAAGAAAAGATGGTACTAGAATGACACATGGGGCTACAGAAACCAGGAAAATTTGTAATGTCTGTGAAGCATTTTTCTGAAGAGAAGAATGCGAATTTGTAAAAGATACTCTAAACTGAGTATAAAAAAGCTACGGCAAAACTTATGTCTTACTTATGTAATCTGCATTACTGCACTTTTACAGAAGTTTTGCCCCTTGCCATTTCAAGGAACCAGCCTTTTTGTGGCAAAGTCTTTCCCCGGCAGCGTGAGGCAAACAGGCTTTCCTCACACCCCACTCGCAGCCTTGCTCCACACTTTTACGTCACAGGCGACATAATCTGCTATCAGCTGTTACTGTGACTTCTAACAGATTATTATGCTGCCCACTGATCTGCTGTGTTAAGATGGCTAATTAAACACACTATAAAACACTGGTGATACCTCTGGAGATCCACCAGTGCAGTATGATATCCTGTATCACCTGAACAAGAAAAGGGTGTCTCAGTTTCTTATCTTCCAACCAACACACGTTTACATGGGCGAGACACATTGTAGACTTATTACATGGTTGAAAAGAATTGTCTTCTATTTCCAGGATGGGCATGTCATGCATATGTTAATGAAGTACTTTGATATTTATAAATTCTCCATATCTGTATTTACATTAAATGATTTTTTTTTTAAAGATTAATGGAAGTGAGAAGAGCTAGCACTAGAAACGCACCTTTATGGTTTTTACCAATGAAATATTGATTCCACGAGAAAACCCTAGATCTTTAACCTAAATATCCTTCCAATTACAGATGCAGTGCAGGCCTTCACTTTCCTTTGGTACCAAAGTCAAGCTCTGTGAAGAGGGAATGGAAATAATTGTGGGTGGGGTGAGGAAGGGGGAGTGTGAGTCCATTTTTAAATTGAGTTTATTTACAAACCTAAATCCCCAGTCACATGATTTCACTCCTTTGATAGTTTCTTAGCATTTACTGTAACGATTTTAAAGGGCAGGACCAGACCAAACGTCCCTAATCATTTGTATGCTGTTTTGACTGTCTGGGGGTCTTCAGTGCCTGTGAAATATGCCCTATTCTGACCTGGAAATCCAACCCACTGTTTAGACACATGAAGAAAGCCCAAAGACAGCCTGCTACTAAAGAAGCCAGAGTACTACTTTTGTTCTGGATCTTCAGCAATGGAGGAAAATGGCTTTCAGAGTAGATTCTGCCAGGAGTTTGATGTGCTAAGTGATAAAAATTTAAGACATGCTTTAGTGCTTTACCTCATTTAGTATTAAAGCATGATCCACTCACTGGCACAAGGGTTGGACTAGATGTCCTTACTGGTTCTTTCTAGCTTGCTTATGGTGACTTCCCTAAAGAAGCCAAAGTGACAGGCTCCCTAGGCGAACTGAAATGAGACTTGCATGCAAACAAGTTCAAGGCTTCTCACTCATGAATTATTAAAGACAAAGAATACTGTGGAAGCAGTGGAGAAAAACAACTGAGCCCCATTTTCCCAGAAGAAAGTAAAACTATGAAAGACGTTTCTGGCCTTGCAGTCAACTCAACCCAACTGCTTTCTTATGAAAAGCTTGCAACAGCAGAGAGGGACCAAAAATATATGTGATAAAATAAGGTACCAAGGGTGATGATCCCCTTTTGCCTTTTGTGTATGACCCTTCACAAATTAGCTGAAACTACTGTAGGGAACTTCTTCAATCAAGACCTGCATTACGTATTAGCACAGCACAGGTGAAACAAGGTACCAGGGGGTGAAGTTCATCAAAGGGTACCACTTGTTGCTGACCTTGATTCTGACACTCAATCCGCAGTGGCAAGACAAGTGGAAGTTACTATTGATTTGTTCTGACTGCTTTGGAAGTGCAACTGCTTTCTGCTTCTCACATCTTTCACATCATTAATTATCTTGAAAGAGAGCATGGTGTACAGACAAGACTTGTTACGGAGAAAACTGTATGACTGAACATGAGGTGACAGTACAAGAACATGGCTACAGTACCACAGAATTAGTACAGACAGATTATTTTGCCTTTAATAAGGCCTCTGAAGGTATAGTCAGTAATAAGCATCTCTGACGCACTGAGTGATTATCTTCAACTGTAAAAGGAAAAGTAGGATTTGCAGCCCTTCAGTCACTTCTCCACTCTTTTTACCCAATATATCCTTTGTGAAAATCCTAGTTCACGTATTTTTTAATTTACAGTCTCAGGCAGGAAAAAGGCAAGGCTGCTGAATTTTTCAGCATCTTAAACCAGTCTTCCAACACTCTGGCCAATACGCTCACCCATGCAGTCTCATGCAGACCCACTCATCTAGTCCTGCAACAGGCTCTCTCAACAGCGACACAAGAGCAGCGGCAGAGCACAGAGCAGCAAGGACAGGCTCTGGCAAATTCTAGTTCCAGCATGAGGTATAACGGATGGTGCAGTTCAGCTGTCAAATTAGTTTAACAGAAGCTCTCCAAAGAAAAATTCAGCCCTTTGCAGAAAACAAGGTCAGTGATTCAACTCAGTACATCTCCTCTTATTCAGTCCTAGTTGAAGCCTTGAAATGAAGCGATAAAGAAAGGTTCCTTTCAGCCTCAATGCCCACATTTCAGAAGGATGTATCTATCTAATGCACTATCACCAGCTAGGAGAACAAATCAAACACTCTGGGATTCTTGATTTCAACTATCATTTCAATTTTTTTTTAATTTTTATCAGAAGGCTCTGAAAATGTGCATCCACATGTTATTTAAGGATGCTAGGTGTTCCCTAGACTCTCACGGTTTTTCATGCTCAGAATACTCAAGCTCCTCTCAGCACCGCTTCCCCTTTTACCTTCTGTCGCTGCTGAATGTTGCTGATCGTGTCTGGCTGAAACTCCAGTTTGTCTGTTCGACAAAGTTTCCAGTATAAAATAATAACGATCAGGAGCACCACAGCAACGGGGACTGCCACGCCAACAATAATCCAGAGGTTGCTGTTCTGTGACTCTGAAGCAGACTCCTTCAGCTTCTCCAGAGCTGTGAAGTTAAAAGAAGACAGCAATATTATGTGGTTATATATTTTTAACTGAGGACACTTCAAGGTTATGTATTTTAATGTTTTTGTAAATGCTATTTACGGAATTTATCAGAAACCAGCTGCACCTCACAGGAAATGTCACACCACTTATAAGTAAACATATGTCATGCTCCAAAACCATGAGGCAGGTGATCAATTGTCCTGGCCTACCTTCTGAAGACCTGTGCTTAAAATATTAATGAAAATATACTTCTGTACCTCACTATGTAACCCAAAGTTGAGCTGACATAGCGAAACGGGTCCACAAAAATGACTTACCACTAAGGAAGGTGAGAAGGGCTTCCTATTGTTATTGACCTTTTCCTGCTTAAAGCAGTATTATCAGCTGCCTCTTCTCTTTAACTAAAGTTTATCGAGTTTGTAATCTTCCCCTTCAATGATCACCGTCAGTTTGAAATCAGTAAGACCTTCCTCCCTGATACGTATAGTTTTGCATTTTCCATTACTTTTTTTCCTTTCTCTGTTTCTTTGCCAGTGTGTAAGATCCTTTAGCCCCAAACAGCAGACAAAACTACTGGAAAGCATAATGAAACCAGTCAAACTTGTAAAAAGTGAACTGGAAGAATCAAGAAAACTTTCATTTGCTCTGTTTTGCATGGTGCTTATGTGTGGGACTAAAAACCACAGCAGTAATCTATTTCTAGTCAAACTGATGCACTTTCTTAAAATGGTGTTTTCAAGTTGAAGACTTCATGAAGTTTGTTCAACACTCACCATCTTTGTAAAGGGAATTTATTCTTGCAACTTTCTGCATTTCCATCTAACCAATATTACAGTCCATTAACAGATATTAAGCAGATGTTAATGAGCTACTGACCTATCTTTAAACCACTGTTTTAATGAGGGACAAAGTTTAGAAACACATCCAGATGGTCCAATTATTACTATTTTCTTTCTCTTCTTTCTGCAGAGAATTTTAAAAATTAGACACATGCTTGTTCTACTGGCAAAATACCCCATGGTACAATGTAACTCATGTCTTCATATTGCACAAGAATAGAAAATGTAATTAAGCATTCATATCAATGACATATTTTGTAGATGATACACGTCTGCTATTGTTTTAAAATACTTTCAAGTTTCTTTCCCAATCATAATGTGAAATTTTGAGTAGGTTTGTCTGACTCCTTACTGCAAATTATTTATATACCAAGCTTCTTGAATAAAGTAATTATATGACCTGCCATATTTATTCTGATGTGCATCTAGTAAAAGATCATATTACTTTTATATTACTGATGGGCAAACAAATAAGGTCAATCATGTTCAGTGGAGGAGATAAACTGTTTCTTTTTGCTTATACCCTAAAAAAATGCCCAAACTAGCATTAGTCTACATCTTTCACTCCTAGAAAGCATAATCCAAACAAAAAGTAGTGACTTGTGTTAAACTTTACTGCTATTACTCAGCTAAAAGAAATCCCCATTTCACACTGACGTCCTCCCATCCCACAGTCATGGGTTTTGTGAAAGCTCCTGGGCAAGGTAAGCTGTAAAGAGCTCTGGACTAGCAGAACAAGACGAGGATGGCAAGAAGGTATCTAGTTAGTACAGTATTTATCTAGCACAAGCACTGAAGTCAAAGTAGCGAGGCTCGCACTTAAGGACTCTGTTGCAATTCCAAGCTCAGTAAAGTCTTCAAGAAGCAAAGCAACACCACACTTCACTGCAAGACTGCTAAAATTTGTTTCCTCAGGAGTATCAAAATTGCAGCATCACAAGCAAAAACACTGCAAGAGTGAGCACTGTGCAGTGCTCTAATTTCCAAAGCTAATATCGCCCTTCTTGTTTCTCTTTGCTGGCATCAGTGTGGATGGATTTGATAGGGCTTACGCTGTGCAACGGTGCCTTCAATGCGGTATCCAAGGATGATTGCAGCCCGCTGGATATCAACTCTGTTCATCAGGTCTGAGCACTTCAGTGCACTGAGTCTCTCTCCATCTTGGTCCTCCACAAAATAGATCAGCTCCACAGGGTTATCAACACCAACCAACCGTGATACATTCACAATCTGAAAAGAAATTGGAAGTTTTTAAGTTGTATTTATTTGGTGCTCCCAAACATTTGACCTTTCAGTCCTTACCCTCTCTCCCCCCACAGGGCCCAGACTTTAAGGACACATCTAAAAAGAAACATTTGGAATAGCTTTGCCAACATGGCATCAGTATCTGTCTTAATTGTCACTGTAGGCAACCCCTAGTGCACAAAAAAGATTTTGCCTATAGAAATATAATTGCTGTTAAAGAAAATCACTCTATCTGTGACACCAAAGAACATGATATTATACTAACCATGTAACTGCTGTGAACTGGTACAGTTTGGAAATTGTCAATATCCCAAGAAGCCTGACAGGAAGACGTGCCGTGAGTAGTGCCCCAAACTGCTGTATGCAGCAAAGGCAACATACACACAGGCTAGGTCTCTCATCTGAGAAGACAATAAGTCAACCGTAGACAAGTGTGGATACACAGAGCTAATACTCAGCAATAACAGTTTGCTACCAAACTAAAATTCTGGATATTTTCACCTTACACTTATACAAAAGATTACAAGTGGAAGTCTTCCAGAGGAAGACAACATTGCTGGAATATTGGTGTCTAATTGCATAAGCACTATTCAAGTGCTCCAGGACCCTGGGAAATTTACAGAAATATGTCTTTTGTAACTGAAAGGAAAATTTCCAGGGAAGTGATCCCTTTTATAAATACCTTTTTATTGCAAAACTTAAGTTTCTTTCTCTTTTTTTCTTATTTGTTTCACGACAACGTATTGGTCCAGTACTGAAGTGAGCAACTGCATTCACTCTAAAGATGCCAACACCGGGAAGCATGGCTTGCCTTTAGCATTTGTCAGTTAGTAGGAGCTGCTGGAGAGATTAGTGAGATTGCACTTTTCCTTCTCTAAGTGCAGCCTTTGATTTCACTTTGTTATTCATAACACATGCTTCCTCATTCCAGTTTTTCAAAATATTAAGCAGCTACACAGGCAAATATAGTCTGTTAGCTTTAATCAGAACTGTTTGCAATTCCTCAGCAAAAGTGTCTGCACAGCCACCTCCATCCTCCAAGCAGCTTCCCCTGGCATCCACCTTTCTTCGGGAAGGAATGTATTTGACGCTGCGGGAAGCAATTCTTCCTACCTACTTCTAAAGACATTAATAACAAAAAGAATGTCTGCTATGAGGAAGCCTTGTAGATATTCTCTAACCACCAAACATCTACATTGCATAGGAGACTCACAAAACAATTTTGATTTCCTGTAAAATTAAATCTTGTATATAACAACGCTCCTCTGTTTAACCATTTACATGTAGTGGTGAGCTCAACCTAGAATTAGGCCAAAGAAATAGTAGGAGATATCCTATCATGTAAACCAGAGTTTGAAAAGCTCTGGAAGGAATTACCATAAATAGAGCAAAATATTTAGTTTCCTTCACAATTACCCTTTACTATGGCATACATATTTAATAAACTAGAATCTCAAACACTGCCCACAGGCTTAAAGTAAAGCAAACACACAAATGTTTGCATGTCTGAGGCTTACAAAAGAAAAGCTTTCTATTTCTTTTCCTCCCGTTTCCAACAAAACAATCATGTTGAAAGAAAGCAGTGCGATGTTCTAGCTCAACAGGGATGATGTTTTGGTCTTTGGGGACATCAACTCAGCATGTCCTAAAAAAAAACATTTCCCAGGAGTGGTAGCAGCAAGGTATATAATAAAAAAAAAAAAAAAAGAGAGAAAGCACAATTGTCATAAAAGTCTAGGCTAAATCAACTGAAAGCGAAGAAAAATGTTCAACATCAGTCATATTTGATGTATGTCGTGGTAAGAAACAGAACACCTACAAACACAGCAGAAAAAGGTGATTTCTGAAACACAGGGAGACCTGCTAACATGACCTATTAACCAATGCCGCTTCTTGTCCTGACTGCTCTTCACTCTTCTACCAGCTAAGGGACAACTGATCTCCAACTGAAGGTAACCAGAGTATCAGTAAATAAGGTTCCAACACACATATTCAGCAGCTGTAAGGCTGAATCTGGTTTCACAGATCCCAGATATATCATTAGTTAAGAAATGCTCACAGCTTCATATATCCACTCCAGCTGGGCTGCCTGGCCTCAGTGCACAGAGCAGCAGGGTGTAGGGACTGGTATCTGCTCTCAGCACGGATGAGTCCTTCCTAAATTGCACTTAACTCATGTCGAGAGTGAGGGAGTTGAAAGACCACATGGGACTGAAAGCCAGTAGATTGGGTTCTTCGTTTAATTTTATGAGACATCCCTGTGTGTGGCAAAGCTACAGAATCGGAGAAATTTGGATGATTCTTAAATGGAATTGTCATATACTTGATGGCATTGTGGTGGCCAAGAACACCTTGCTACAGGGGTAATAGACAGAACCTGGCTGAATGGGTTAAAAAAGGAACCTCTCCACAGCTGCCTTTAGAAAGGGCAGAGGGGAAAGGGACAGATTCCAGTGCAAGTTGCCACAACTGAACCAATACGATTTTAACATGGAATTAAAAACAACAGTGCATGGCTCCCTGAGGAACAGGGATGGGTGAGAACAGAATGGAGATAAGTAGCTGGAGGTATTTTGGCACAGTGTATAGGACTGGGAAACAAGCATAAAGAAATTTAGTGGAAGGTGGAAGTGCAGGCTGGCGTTGATGAACTAAGCTCGCCATTTTAAAGTAAGTTTTATCTGAAATAGTTCTTTATGAATACACAGTATTTTATGAGTGCTCACACCATACTGAGGGAAGCTGCAGACAAAATGCCATATCCAAGGGGAGATGGGTATGAGCTTCTATTCTGGGAAAGCTGATGGCTGAGAAGGGTATTCTTGAGGTATGAGACACAAGTAGACTTGTACGTCAACTCAGCAACTCTGACAGTACCTATACATCAGTTTTCATCTCTGTCACATTGGTTAAGTATAATTTATTTTCTTTTAAACTAACCTCTGAGTTTGCTGCAACACAGAAAATGGGACACTGGATCTGAACTGGTTTTAAGTCTGATGATAAAGTTAAGGTATACAGCCACTGTGCCATGTTTTTACACAGCTTCAGTATATTAAGTTTTGAACCATTTTGCTCCAAATTATGCTCTCTGTGCAGCCTCAGGTTGGTTTTGTCTCATACTTTACAGAGGTGTCTCTATCCTTAAAAGTGCTAAGAGTACAAGCACAGGCAGAAACGGTATTTTCCAGGCATCCAGCAAAGCAACCCATGTGTAAGGAAGCATTTAAGTATTTTATATTTATACCTTGTCACTGATGGATGACACAGGGAGGGAGGAGATACAGGACTTTCAATACATGCGAGGCAGAAAAACGAAAAAAAATACTAATTCAACTTCTGTGTACATAAATGATACCATCTTTGTTGATACTAGATGTGCATTTAACCTCCACAGAGTATAGGCTTAACCGTGTTCAGGTGTCAGTAGATTTAATTTAAAAGTGTTTTCAAGAGAATATCATAGGTCAGTGAACAGAGTTGCCTTGGTAACCAAACCTAGCTCATAGTTTAAAGCGGGGGAAGTCCAGGTGGTGGGCAAGCTCACAAGGTATTTACAGAGTGTCAGTCAGTCAGCGGGACGTCCCAGTCAGCAACCATGTCAGGCGTAAGGAATCCCTGGGTAAACTGGTTTGGGGTTTTGAAGGAATGAGTGTTACTTAGAAACAAGCAAACACACACACACAGAGTTTCCAAAATGCATGTACAAGGATTATTTTACCTTTTTCACTACATTCATCCCCTAGGAAAAAAATAAGCAAAAAATATTCTGCTTTCTGCCTTATTAGAAGTAGGATTTTAGTGTCCAGGCAATTAAATCAAGCTGTACTCTGCTCTGAACAGTTCAGCAGACAACGCAACATAAAGCATATGGGGAACAGGCATCATGCAAAACCTGCCTGGAGTCCCAGAAAGCTCTCACAGAAACCTGTCGGGGCAGGAAACGGTGGTGCAGCTTGCGGGCAGCCAGCTTCCTCCTGGGGTGCTCCAGCTGGGGATGGACAGGGCAGCACTGGTCGCAGCACCAAACACTGGCCCACTTTGGTGGCCCCTCCTTATGCTAAGCTGTGGAGACTGAGTGAACCAAGGGGGCCAGGGCAAGGCAAAGGGAATTCCCTCAGCTGGCTTACAAAGGCTTGTTGGCCAGCCAAGAAACCGGTTTGCCAGAGCAGGAGTAGGAATGGGCAGTGGGCAACGCAGCAGAAGGGCTGGCCTCTGCCTGCAGCAGGCATCAGAAGGCTGGAACGCCTGAGGAGAAGGTCATGCAGCAGCCATCCCCAAAGGCTCCATTTAAAAACCTAAAAACTCCCACCAAGATTGGGCCTTCACTCAGATTACACACTTGGGAGAGACACCGAAGCCCTCATAGAAAACCCACCCAGAGGATGAATCTCTGCCTTAATGAAAATCTCAGCTCAGTCATTATGTCCCCTCAGAGCTACTACGTCCTCACACACGTTACAACCACAGCATCACCTAACACGCTCTTTAAATCAGAACATCATTCTTTTTTGTTACTTAGTAGGGTCACCTCTTCACCTTCTATTAGGTTCAAAAGACCAAGCATGCTGAAATGAAGGAAAACTAATTATTTTTTTGTATTAGCTCCTGGTGTATTTTTAAACCACAATTAAGCCATTTAATTCCTCAAAAAATTAATGAGAATTGAGTTGTTATGGTAAACTATTGACAAAATATAGCACAGGGCCTAGTCTCTGCGGATGCAATACAAACTGCATTAAACATGTGCCTTCAATTTGCAGCAACAGCAGATACATATTAAAAATATATATGACTTGCTCTGTGAAAAATTAATATGAGCATCACAAAAATCAATGGAACTCTCTCGTGTATAACAGTCAGGTGTGCAGCTTCAGAGGGTTTTTTTTTGTACATAATGGTTATAGGCTTTTTTCTTTTTTTATCATGGAGTTCAACCTGTTAACAGCACAGACAGGCAAATGGGAGGGGAAAGCATGCTATTTGAGCACCCTAGGTAGTCCAAAGGCCTTATTCACAGTGTCTAGATTTAAAGAGTAATTTTTAATGTTCCTAGAACCTAACACAGGCCTTTAGAAATGAAATCGAAACCTCACAAGATATCACTTCTGTTTTCTTAGTATATGAAAGGAAACTAATATGCCTACAGTAACATTCACAAATAATTGCTTCACCTTCTGACCCACAGTCCTGATTTTCCACAGGGCCCAGAAATGTCACATTTCAATATACTATAAATATCTTTCACCTCAGGAATAACTCGGGTCTAGAGGGGCTCAGCACAAGCGAAATGTGTGTCTAGTCTTTCGTGGATATATGTCTGTTCTGCTAATACAAGTATCCAACACTTCAGTATTACTAGCAGCTTCAGTTTTTACATTCGCTATCCTAGCAGTCGCTGTTTTATGTGCAAGAAATATATATGGGAAAATCTAAAGCACAAAGAACATTAATAACTCTCCCATAGGACACAAACAGATGTATAAACACACTTCAAACACAGCTTATAAACTTAGCTCTGAAGAACAGAATCAGCAGCAGAAAAACTAAAAGGTTTATTGTAAATGCCAATGGACCAGACCCTCAACTGACAGGAGAGCATCCTTGAAAGAAATCATCCTCCACTCAGGAGCCCACTACCAGGTGCATCACTCCAGCTGCAAACTAAGGCTGTCTCACCTGCCACAGACCCAAACATCTGGCCCAAGCAAGCTACCAAGAAGCTATAGTACCTGACGGTACCTTCTGTTCTCGCACACGGAAGCAGGATGTCTATCACGGATACCTAGCAGCAAGTTACCTCCTTCGGCCTTCCTTTTCCCACATTTCCTTTATTACAGGGCTAACCCTGTTACAGCATGGGCTGTGAGCACCTGGAGAAGCCCTGTGTTATATGGGATGGCATGATGTGTTGACCATAGCTAAGAGAATCCTTCACTGCCCAAAGACAGTGGTTTGCAGACCTTTTGCACTAATTAGGTGGCATAAATGAGCAGCATTGTTGTTTGGAACAGGAGCTGCATGCCTCATCTTATGTCCCAGTAAGTAACATAAAGTCATAAGAAAAACTCTGTATTTTCACTTTCCAAAATACTATTCAGCTAGAAAGGACCTGCATGTAATTTTGTGCGTGCAAAAATAAATTACCTGAGCTTTATTATGTAAAATAGTAAAACTGTAATCTGAACATACACATTTTATAGGCTGCGGTATCTTTGCTAGCAACATAAGGAGTATTTGTTTAATCTATATGCAAAAGGAGGACTGAGGCATAAAGAACAAAGTGCATTAAGAGGTGATGGGAATAGATGATCTGAGGCAGACATCTATTTACCGCAATTCAAAGCTGCACAAAAGAAAAATAAAATAAAATCTCTATTACTGAAACAGATGTTTCTGGAGATAGGAAAACAGAAGTAAGAAAATACCAACAGCTGGAAATGTAAGTGGTAGCAAAAACCATAGGATTAAATTAAATAAAGATGATAGGTCTGAACGACTAGAAGGGCATCTGTGAGGTAAACCAACTGTCGACAAATTAGCTGGAAAAAGTAATTTTTAAGAAGGGGAGCCATTAAAAAGTATTTTACCTTTAGTTTGTTGAACTGGCTAGAACGAACACGTAAGAATTTAAAACTTAAACATCCAAGTCTTCCTGGACATTATGTGAATAATTCTGTCTGTGACAAAACACCAAAGCAGCACTGGAATCCAGATAGCAGAAGCTGCCATGTTGGCAAAATATGACATGATTCATCGCTTACTTGGAAAGCCATTCCTGCGATCAGGAGTACTGTGACAAAGAGGCAGTTAAGGGGCAGAATATACTACTCTCCTGTGGCATCAAGCTGCACATCATTCTATTTCATATTTCTACACCAGTATCAAAACACTACAGAGATCTGTGAAGTAGCTGTTCCAGCAGAGTACTACTTTGACTGGGATGAGCATCCTGTCTCCTTTTCCTAGGCATCTCATCAAAGTCAGACAAGATAGCAAGTTCCTAAAACAGGCTGCTGGTAAAATAATTTTCAATATAGTTTTGAAGAAGTCACCAAAATTTTTTAGTAGCCACTTAAAATATTCAGGTTTTTTCATTTGTTACGTTTAGCTTAAAAGACAACAACATAACCAAAAGAACTGTATTTAAGGTGCCAAACACAAGCATCATCAACTAACTGAAGGCGAGACATGCTTTTGCGTTACATTTCTCAACTCAAAACTAAGACAGTATCAACTGATTCAATAATTTATTCCCCTTTATTTCTTCCTCTGACTTGGAGCTTTTAATACCTGCACAATGTTGCTGCCTGCAAAACTGGCTCGTCTCCATATCCGCCCTCTGGCCAAAGCCTCGTTTAACAGGTGAGCTAGTTTCCGCTCCATCTCAGCCCGAAACACCTCCTCCTGAATTCGCTGGTCGACGACACCCAAGAGAACTACATTGCAGGGAAAGTAACCCAAGAACACAAACGAATTAGTGAAAGTTTTCAGTGTCTTTCCTGCAACTTCAGTTACAAGATCAGAGTCACCCTGTGACATCTTGCGGAAAATTCAAACGCAGCTGTGTTCATATGGGAATACTGCCCAGTTCAGCTGGAGGTTACATGTTGGAAAGGAAGACATTGGGTGGAAAAAGGTTAAAAAAATAAATTTGAAAAAGAAAAAAAATAGGGCAGAGGTAATTTTTGGAATCACAACCAGTCTAGAAAGACCCAGGATATTGAAGAAACCATTTCAGTTCCAAAACCATAAGCTTACGAGCATTCAGTGAATTATTTAAAAACAAATAAAAGAGAAAATTCAGTCTAAAGTGTCTTCTGCAACTACTTTCAGTCAAAATGTTGTGTTCAGAAGTGATACAGTGTTGGAGATGGGCAGGGCATGGGTTCAGAATGAAGAAATAAAAATAGCAGACCAGCAGCACATGAATGAAGCTGCGTATTCCAAGAACATCTTGCCTAGATAGGATAAAGATTAACAGTATGACAATCATAGTACACAAAAAAACCCTGGTTGGTAGCCTTGCCCACTTCCCAACTCCAGGTATGCCGGGTCACTGAGGCAGCTAACGCTGAGAAGAATCCCTGAGGAACAACAGAGGAAACATGAAAAAAGTGGAGACCTTCACTAACAAGGTGGCGTCCAGTAAAAAAAAACGTGAATGAACAATTGTCATTGAAATGACCTAATTCAACAACTCTGAAGTACAGTAAAGCAACTCGCTGCTGACTGCAGTAAAACAATTCAGTTTTCATTTCTGAGGCTCTGCACTAAAATGATTTATATTTTTTAAAGTCCCTTTTTCAGTAAGTGTTTTCATGGGGTTTTTTTAAGCCTACTAAAAAGCCGTCAAATTAAATTAAAATCAATTAAATATAATTCTAATTGTTTTAATTTTTAAAACAAAAATATTAAAACGACCTTTTTCATTAAAAAATTTTCAGAGCAGATGTCAGAAAAAGGAAACATTTTCATGATTTCTCAGAGATCAACAGCATCTGCCTTCTAAGTTCAATCACAGACTAAGTATCTCAGAATTAATAGCAAAATTAACACAGTGGCCTAAGGCTACTACATGCAGCAAGTAGAAGAATGTTCTTGCCTGTGTATTGAATTTCCATATCAATGAATTATGCCTGATAGCATGAACTGTATTCCACAACTGAGAGGGACAGCTACAGAGAACACTGCAGATTTCCAAAGTTTTATGACTCTTGGGATACATGCACATATATCTGGGTAATCTAATATTAAAAACCTCACCTTTACATGATTAAATGATATAATTTTCCTACGTCATGAGTCATTACGCATACAGTACAATATACAGACTGAAAGGATGGAGCCAGCCAAAGTCTAGCAGCTCTTCTCAGGTTGTCTGCAAGAACTGGGATTACAATGGATTCTTCTACAGCAAAAAAAGGTGCTGTAACTGGCTTTCAAAATCTTACAGTCTAGAAGTTTAGAAAAAACCAAAGGGACATGATTCCTGAGTTAGAAGAACCCTCCTCCTATTGCAGGACCTAAGGGAACTTCCACCAACAACAGACAATCAAACCTAAGGCTGAGCAAGACAGGGTAGTGGTGTGACCAAAAAAGCCAACATAAATCCCTGAGGAAGAATGACACTGGATGTGGGATACACACATGTAGCTTTCTTCATGGTATTGAACATGGTCTGAAATTTTTCATTTTTCTCTAAAAAAGGAGTGTGGGCTTCAGAAAATAAGGTCCAATTTGGCTCCCTGCTTAAAAAGTAAACTGGGTCACTGGTGAGAGAACACAGGGATACATGAAGAAAGGGTAAGTCTGTGCTGCTGGTGAGCTACAGGCAGAGAAATGGGAATACAAAAGTGTATCCCGTGGGTCATCTGCACGCTATGGCAACTTTGCTGGGCGTAGCCCTGGTCACCATTCAGGCTTTCTGCTTAAGAGAAGCAGGTAGGACCTACAGTGTGCAGGCAACCTCAACAGCCTTTGAGCATCTAAACCTGGCAGCTCAACCATATCTGTGAACTATAGAATAAAACATCCAGAAGACTTGGGTGGGAGGGATCTGCTATGAAAGAATCGGAAGGGATCAATAAAACGTGATGCAACTTTTTCATGTACTTAAAATGTATCTATTTTCATTCTCTTTTATTCCTGGCATGTTTTGGTAGAAAGCTCCACACAAAAAAAAAATTCATTTTCACTTAAAATAAGAAGCTAAAAATCAATGTGGTATATTTACAGCATGCAAAGTAGACACTTTATGCCTGACAGTGTAAGCTGTTTCGCTAAGAATGAACTGCTTCTTACACAAAAACTACCTCGTGTGCATTATCGAGGAATTGCAGTAGTTCATTCTAGACCCAGGAATTACATTTCCCAGATATTCCAGGTCACCAGGCCTTTGGTTTTAGAATTTATTCATCTCAGGCACATTATTACCTCATAAAAATGCAGCACCCCTAAGCCATAGATACTTAGGTAGGCTAGTTATCCTGCTAACAGAAATAATAGCGCTCTTACTTACTCACAGAGACTGTACATACCTGTTCTCACCCAGGAAGATTTCATCAACTGAGACACATTAAGTTTAGGATAATGAAAGGCTGAGGGAAAAACAGAATGGAGGAAAAACATCCGTAAGAACAGTATTCTCAACAACATACACAAAAAAAGAAGCCACTTCATAATTTACACTGTCAGTAAGCATCTTATTGACACAGATGTATTACTACTCCCGAGGCTATGCAGACACAACGGTAAGGAGAGTGCTCCGAACACACACGCCCCCGTTCATCTAACAAAAAGAAGCTAACAGAAGCAGTCAGATTTATTACCTGAACGATTTCAAGCTGCTGTGCTGAGGTCATTGCTCCTAGACATTTAAAAGCTCACTGTCTGAACTGTGACTCTTACTGAGCTAGCTGCAGGATCAGACACTTGCTCAAAGGGCAATGAGGCAACTCATGAGTATCCCAGAATGAAATTAAGACCTTCTGTGAGGCAGAAAGTACATGGAAACACTAAATGTAAAGCAGAAAACTAAATGTATCTGATTTGTGTTCCAGACTTGCGCAGGGGGAAGCATTTAAAAAAAACACTCCCTTGATTTTTTTTTTTTTTTAAACAAAAAATACAAATAAATGCATGTAGAAACATTGCTGTAGACTAATCTCATGGCTTTTGTGTTTGGCTTGGTGGCTCCAAGCTTTCTTAATTTCTAAATTCTTCCAAAAAAAGCTCTGCTCCAAAGTGAAATCCTTGCCTCGGTGAAGTAAATAAAGTCTATTTCCTCTGACTTCAGTAGGGATAAGATTTTTCCCAAGGTTTCCACTGGAGAGCAGTAAAGACATGTTGGGAAACAAGTGAAGATGGGGGCTGGGCCAACAGTTTCCTCAAGGGAAGTCTTAAGCTTCACTATGGCAATAAGGAAAAGGAATGGTCTTAACTTTCTCAAAATATTTAATCCAGATGCAGTTTGCTAAGTGTTATACAGAGGTTAATTTTCAAACCCTTTCATGGCTAGAAAGAATGCAGCACATAACAATTAAATGCCCTGGTCCATGCGGGATCAATTTAGAGTAGAGATGTCTTGTCTTGCAGTTGCAGAACAGTTTGCCACACTATAGCATGTTTCAGCGAAACAGAAAATTACCATTTTTCTGATTTAATTATGCAATAATTTGTAGAGTAGCTGACCTCTGTCAGTGTACCTAAAACCTGATTCTTTTGCCCCTTAAAAAACTCAAGAAATTTTTAAGGCAAGAGCAAAACAATCACTAGTACCTGTTATTTTCACAGATTTATAAATAGCCCTGTGGAAAAAAAAGAAAAAAAATAAAGAAAAGTTGGCTATTCCACCTTTATTTCAGTAACAGCACCACTACCTTCAAGAGAACCACCTGGGAGATACTGTGTGACTGACTTACTATTCAAGATGGGTATCAGAATATACCCTTTATACAGTGACCAGGATGCATCAAACTTCCCAAACGCTCAGACACACAAAAAGCACCTCACAGTCCATTTAAACAAACACGTTTATTTCTGGCATCCTGCTACATGATTCTCTGATCGTAGCTTTCAGATTGGAGTTCTATTTACTCTGGTCATGCAATTGTTTACTCCAACTTAGAAATACAACCTGAACAAAACAGCATAAGCTAAACTGCATCTGTTGTTTTTCCAAAGCATGGAAAAAGCAAGATAAGAAAATCAAAAACCTTCCAATGGCCATAAAACTTTGAACTGCTAGCAGTCGTAAGCTTTTTCTTCTTTTAAACCAAAATCATGTTTTGCCTCAATACTTCATGCGCTCTTCGCACTTTTTCTAATTAGTACTTGAAAATGATTTAATTCATGCAAATTGCTGGATGATATTCACTTAAACTTTTCACAGAATTAATGGAATTTAAAAATAAAACAACTTGAGCAGAAAATCTTGAAATTGAAAAGGAAGATGTGCTGTGTTCTTTGGCAACTAAGGCTGAGTTCTAAAACCTGACAAAGAATGCATGAAATGGACACTTCTGCAACTGATACCATGCTCCGGAGTCGGAAAATCCAGGCTCCAACTCTTATTCCATAGGTCACTCACGTTCCACCAACACAAACGTGACCAGATCCTGAGCTCAGCTGGAGTCTCAGCACTGCAGCAAGATCATATTTGCAAGATTCCTAATGCCCCCTGGAACTAACGATTAAAATCAGCACAAACTAATTGTTATTCTGAGGGGGAAGCTGGAGAGACAAAATGCAATTATTAGTTAGACTGCGGCTGGTCGGCTAATGACTCTAGATGCGTTAATGAAGTAGACGCTATCATCATTAGAAGATTTTAACACACAGCCCTGAAGCACCACACCGTGTAACAGCATTGATTCAACGCCGACTGAAAAGGCAAAGGGTCACCTAGTCACCCGGAAACCTCCTGACAGCAGCCTGAAGCCCGCCACTCGGGCAACGTGGCCTGCGCCAGGTGCTCCAACAAGGGTCTCTCTGACCCTCTCATATAGACACTTGTGGGACCATGCACGATAGAATCAGTACCATGTTGATCGTTCTTATTTCTGCTAAATGGAGAAACAGCAATAGGAAGTACGGAGGGAATGCAATATTTGGAATGAGAAGGCATCAAATGACAAGATTCCTTGAAAATTCTGGGGTGCAGGCAACAGTAACACACTGCATCTTTAAATATCTGATCCAAAATCCATCCAGATAAAAATTGTAAAATATATCCACAGTTTTTTAACTGTATCATACAATTCTATATCAAATATATCCACAGTTTAACTGTATCATACAATTCTATATTAGCCTACTGGCCTTGCAACACCTCCAAGATATCTGAAATAGATGCCACCCATCGAAGTGCTACTTACAGCACTGAAAAAATAGCAAGTCCCAAGGCAATTCTCTCTATTTAAAGCCATAATAAAACCAAAGACATTTATTCAGGTAAGTTCATGAAGGCCAATATTCCTCATCTAGTCCACAACTAGCCTTTGCCTATCTTCAGAGAAATCTTCCAGCCATAAAGAGATACTAAATATATTATTTTCTATTTTTTAAAACAAACTGGCACCCAAAACCTGTGACTAGACTTGGTTTTCTTTCTGCTGACATGTAGTTCACGACCATCTAACCAGTTTAGAATCTAAAACGTGAGATGTAAGGTGGACAATGTGAAATAAGCATTCAAGAAGGGGCAAACAGAACATTTGAATATATGTATGTTGCTGAAGTCACCCGGAAGTCCATGAGGGAAAGAAAATTAAGGCTGGAACTTTCCAGGTTCGACCACTCCAACCATCCTATGCTTGCACAGGACAGCCCTTTCTGCCAAACTAACAACTTCCACTATTGACCATGACTCTAAATGAGTGGGAAAAGCTGACATTCCTGTTGTTAATGATATACTGCACAGGGACAACCCACACACTTAAAAGTATAAGCAGTACAAATTAGTTATGTGTAAAATCCAGTGAAAGAGCTGTGTGTGGGAAAGGCAATGTGGAAGTGAACAAGCAGCAGGGAGCAAAGACATTCCTTCAAACACGGCTGGTATTTGTGATACTGAAGGCAAGGTCTCACTTCACTCAACAGTGCTGAGATACAGTGATACTACACAAGTAGCTTTTCCTTACTATGAATCAACTTCAACCTCCTGACAGCTTGGCTCACCTACAAATCAGTTAATTTTCTTCAGATGCAGACTATAAAACTTAGAAAACCATATACAGAGCCCTCAGGTGGGCGGGTGGGAGGAGGAATAAAAATCATTACCAGTAGTCTGTCACCATGCCTGAAAACTAAGGCACAGCTGGCACAGAATAGTATGGCAAGGAACATTTCATATTTATGTATAAACAATTTACACATGTTACTATTTATATATAAATTGTTTAAGTGTAAATATATGAATATAAAAAAATTCCTCCCAAAATTCACATTGAAAAACAGAGGGTTGCATAATAATTTCCACAGAGCAAAGCAGCTACCTGTCTGAGGAAGGCCTTCACAACACCTCCCCTGCTACGACTCCCCTCTAGACCGAGGGACAGCATGAAAGCAGAGAGAGCCTAGAAAACAAGCGCTCTTCGGCATTTTCCTGCCAAAGCAGCTATGCGGATCTGGCTGTTGGGCATCCTCAACAGACTGCTGAGTAAGATGTCTCAAGAAGGATCTGCCCGATGCTGCTGAGCCTTTGGGCATTATTTCTGTCTTTGAATACTAAAGATCTAAAAATCTTTTGGCTCAAAAATACAGTCATAGCAACAACGCAAAAAACTGTAGAAAAAGCTAAAAATAACGGAATGTGGTTGCCTCGCTTATAAAAGCCTATGAGCTACATCCATTACTGTACTGGCTGACAGACGGGATGCGTAGCTCTAACAAGCTGAGAAACTCTTCCCACTCTGCTGACTTACCCAGTCGTACCATGCCTGGTGTTCCAAGACGGCGACTGCAAACCTGCCGAAGCACTACTGAGACCACGCCAGCCCAGTTCAAAGCAAACCCAGCTGTCCTGCAGTGGGCTCAATCGACAGTAAATACGGAGTTCCTCTAGAGGCCAGCAAGTCAAATGCTGCCCAGTTGCTCCTTGATTTAGGGCACCATATCCAGCAAATCCTCATGTTTTCTACACTGTGAACTTTGGGAAGATCACATTGTTCCTAAAAATTCTAAATGACTAAATTGAAATTTAATATTTATTTTAACTTGATTTATTAAAACAAATAAAATACATCTAATGAGACATCATATATTTTGAAAATTCAATCTATACAAATTTGAACGTCATCTTCCAAATTTCTCTGTCAGAGACATCACCACCACCACACTCTGGCTAAGCTCTCCGAGGCAAGTGCTATGTTCTGTTGGCAACATTCATCCAATATACTATGGCAGCAGTGAGGTGGGGTCACTGAAGGCATGGGGGTATACACAGCTTGTTCAGCTGTCATCATCCCCGCTACTGGGGATGTGCACCAAAGAAACAGCATTTTTCAAGAGCTCCAAACAGGAGAACCGTGGAAGAAAGTGTCTATCATGACAGACTTAGTCACCACTGATGAGTAACTCTGCCTTCCTACACTAAGGGTTTGTTTGGAGATTCGAGTTTTGGTACTATTTGGGAGATTTGGTGGATGTGAGGGGAGGAAGAATAATTCTGTGTTTCAAGTCTCAAGATCTGTGCTGGAATTTGCGGGAAAGAAATTACCATGCTGTTGGAATACTTGTTTAAAGTTGCCAGCAGATAAATCTTCAGAAACACAGTTATTGAATTAACTCACCCACAGGCTCAGACATAACAGAGACCACATCTGCCAGGCCTCAACAGCCAACATCTACATTGCTTCACTGCAAACCTTAGAGTGGTCAGGAAAAGAGAAGAAATCCAAACGGGACCTCGTTCCAAAGGCACTGCCTGACCTCGCCTCTCACTCTACTTTGCATGACTTTCTCATTAACACGTGAGCTACCACCGAGCTCCACCGGCATCAGCCCCACTGGCCAAGCACTGTAAGCATGCAGGTAACACAGGGAGACCTCCTGCTATGGAGCAATGAAGATATGACCTTCAAACTTCCTACGTTCCACCAGGAAAGCACAATAAGGAGAGCAGTGTACATGCATGTTTAGTAAGATTGTTTTCCCCTATGACCAGCCTGACTTTCAGGATACACTGGTCGAGGTATAAATCCTGTTGTCATTTAATTGCACTGTGGCTCCATCGCACAATCCACAAGATGGATTCTCAGCAAGGGGCAACCTGCAAATTCACTACAAATACCAATGCAGAATACGTGGACAAAACTAAAAACTTTAGGACCAGATGTACATACATCACAGGAAAAAAAAAAACCAAAGATGCCCCACAACACCAAAAATATTATGCAAGAGACTAAGTTAAACTCTAGGGCAAAAGAGATGACACAGAGTAAAGAGACATGTCTTTCAAGCAATCAAGACAAAAGCAACATTTAATTTGCAGTAAGAGACAAAGACCACAGCCTGCAACCTGAGAAGTCCTGTGGCCTCACAAGGAAGAAAAGAAATCTTGGTCATCTACAGACAGGGATTCTCAAGGCTTTTGGTCCCAGCTCAATTACAGCTACCACTGCACAGGTAGAGCCTATGTGAGACCAAACGACAGCAGAAGTGTTTAAAGAAAATGAGCCAACCACCTTGTACATTTTTTTTAATTGATTATTGGAGCAGAGGGTTAAAAAATGCTTAAAAATTAAAACAAAGCTTCAAAAAAATTAGTACATTTAAACCTACATAAATGTAAGGTGCTATGGAGAAGAACTTCTGTTGACAGTCACCCTCTTTATGGTACCTTCATTGACATACGACCGCACAGCTGCAGAATGAACAGCAGCTACCATTAGGCCTGATTTTCCACTAGATGTTTAATTGTATAGCAGGTATCACTGTATCAGGTGTTACACACCTATGCGGCTCACAAAAATAACTCAGAAAATTAAAAATCTGCATTGGAAGGCACAGTGAGACAGGAGAAACAGGGAATTAATGGACTGAGTAACTTGCTTACATTCATGAGTCATTTCTGTCGTGAACAATCCATTAGTGTACAAGGATAAGTGTGGTGTTTAGAAACTTGGTCTATTTATGAGACTGAGGTAATCCGAAAAATCTAACCAAACATAAGTTGTAAAGGCTGGATGTCAAGCAAACTCTGCCATGCAGGCAGTTCCCATTAATCTGAGTTTACGGTGGCCACAGACTGGAAAAAATGACTTGCAATGCAAGCTGTACGTAAGAAGCAAGAGATACACTAAAAAATTAATACCCTAAAAGATAACACACTACTCAAAAAAGCACTGCTGCTGACTAACAGATAACCCAGATAGACTATATGGGCAAATATAAGCTTACGTTGCCAGTGTCCCATGCTTCTCACAAGTCAGAGCCACAGTTAAGTGCAACGCAAAGCCCAAGGCAGCAAACCCTGCTGAGAAGCAGCAAAGGCCCCTGCAGACATAACCACAGAGCTACATCTTGGGTTTCACTTCACAGCAATATTGAGCTAAGTGACTTGGTTTTTAACCTGGGCTAGCTGACTAACAAAATCAGGTTAAGCGCAACTGACCTGACGCAAACGGAAAGAATGACGACAAAAGCCATCAGAATTCATGATACAAGTCAGGTACTTGAAACAGCATTATCACTTAGGCACAAAATTAAAATTATAGAGAGGAAAAAAATACGAAGTGTCTTGCACTCTTGACAAGCAGCAAGTACTCACGTTCAGCAATCTGCAGCACAGGAAAGCCCAGATAGAAGCTGAATTCCACCACGGACAAGTTTCTTAGCTGCTCACTGACTTCGGACCCATTTAGAAAACCGTATCTGTCTCGGATGGCAAAAACAATGCTCACAGGGCCTTGCCGAAATGCTATCCCAGGCCTGCTCAGAGTTATATTCAGTATCTGAAAAGACAAGATTGAAGCAGGGTTAGCAAAATCAAATCACTGGCACTTCTATTCATTCCTTGACAGATTTTTTTTTTTTAACCCCTAATATGAAGGGGGAGACAATCCACATCAAAACAGAGGAACATCTATTCCAGATTGCCTCTTATGAGCCTCAGCAGGCTGAACCAAAGTTACATGTGAATTCCTCTTCTCAGAGTTATCCTTTAAGCTCATTCATAATCCAGAATGATCTGAAAACCACAGTCCAGAAAAAGACAATAAAACCACTTAAAGAGAATCAGCAAAACAAATCTACCAATAAAAAAATCTTAGATGAATACCAAACTCTGTGGAAAAGACAGGAAGAGACATGGTAAAGAAATGTTATGAAAATGGATGTATTCTTGGTCAAAACCTCCTGTATCATGCATGCCCACACCCTACCACTGGTTAAAAGCCTTATTTTGGCACCAGTTTACACAGCAACTGTGTTCATGCAGACAAACCTCTTCCAGACAGTAAGCAAGTATTTAAAATAAAAATTTGCTAAGCTGATAGTCCAATATATTGTTTTGCATGTTCTGTCTTCAGTCCATCCAGTCACATTGTGTCATTCAGTACCAAGCACTTTACTACACGTACTATATAGGTCTTTATGTACTATAAAGTTTATGGCATTTTTCCTGCTATGATTTTATTTTAGGGTACCACAGGTGGGCATTTACGGTGCCCGTTAAAGAACATTATAAAATTTTTACTAATTTTGGTATTACAACAAAGCTAGCTGAAATTTAAGAATTTAATGAGTTGGTCTCATTAAGATGAATTACTGACTTTCCAGGGAATTTTAAACTCTGCTATGTGATTCAATACCCAGCACATAGGCAATATATTTCATATGCGAAGTTCCAGCAGCAGCTGCCAGGGACATCATATACTGCTGTAAGTATTTCTAGACCACAGAAGCAACTAGCATGTTTGCTCACATAGCAGAGTGCATATAGGTCCTATATTCCCTGATAGGATCCCCTGATCGGCAATAAGACCTGAAAGTTGTCTTCCAAGAAAAATATCCTACCCACACGCTACTCTAATAGTAAAATCTGATGGGAATGATTTTGTAAGGGTTGGGGCAACCTTTACATGAAAAGTATAAACTCTCTTATATTCAATAATGCTTTTCAATATATATCATCATCTTGGATCATTTTTTCAAAAAGCTTGAAACCATATTATTTTACAGGGGGCAGAAATCCTAACTTCATGACAAAGCCTCATAGTTCTACGTGATCTATATGGCAAGTGATAGCCAGTGAACACCAAACTCATTCTACTGGCTGGACGGAACACAGGACAACCAAAGGTGAGGGGAAAGAGGGACAGACAGAAAGCGTGCTAACCATCTTACCTGCACAGTGAAGTTGTGGAACTCCTGGTGTTTACTCACTTCCATGAACGCCATCGTCAGCCCTTTCTCAATGCGCCGGCTAAAGTTGCAGAACCCAACGTCAATGTTCCGAGGCACAAACTGAAGCACTGGAGGCAAAAGGTACATATTATTCCTACAGACAAGTACTTCCATGAGAGAGAACAAAACCGGCAAGAAAACCCACAGAGCTATCACTTTCTCATGGAATTCAGGACATATTCAGTGAAACACTGGGTAAAAATACAGTTGAAAAATTAATTCTGTGTTGGTGCAGTAAGTACTTTACTCATTAATATCTCTTGCAGCAGTAATTAACTTACTCAAAGATATTAGTGAGAAAATACCCACTGTTTCCTCTTGCATACTGAAAGACCTTCACTACATACATGTAGCTAATTTTACAGGACTTGATCACTCCATCAGCCACTCCACAATCTTAGTACCCAACACATCGGTGAAAATCTTAAGGAAAAAAGCCACAAATACCTTTTTCTTGTAGACTGAAATGGAGTAATTAGCTTGTCTAAAAGACCACATATTGGGTCCATTAATACACATCAGTATCACTCTAACACTTTCAAAACACCTACTTAGAAAACGATCTTTTAAATCTGGATACGTACACTTTAAAGTCTTTCTCAGGAGAGAAAGACCGAGCACAGGGGATAAAGAGTGGGTGTGGAGGAAACATAAGCACGCACACAGACCTTAACTACATGCACATCTGTGGACTTCCTGATATAGTCTTACCCAAAAGAATGCTATGATTATGTTACAGACCCTAACAACAACGTTATACGAGGCAGAGTAACAGAAAAATATCTCCTGTCTATCTGTATAACAGTATTAAGCAGTGGAAAAAGACATCACACCTGCACGATTAAAGCAGCGATCAGTTATTAACAAAGCAGAAACAACACGTGAAACATACCTGAGCAAAAGTACCTATGTCTGACATCAATTAACTCTGCCTATATACTCAGTCCTGTCACTACCTCGTTACATAGTCAACCAACCAGGCAGGTGGTTTTGCTATGTAAATAGCACCTGAAGGAAAATGTTAGATGATATCACTGACTCAAAACCTATTACAAGGGTAATATTTTGCTTTAGATTATTAGTAGTCATGGACTTCACCTAAACCGCTGCCATACAGCAGCCATGGAAAGCTGAGTACTACATGAGCAATCCTTCTGCTCACATTATAGATGAGTAATCAATCCTCCTACTCACCAATCCTCCTACATTATGAGAATTCTAAAAAGAATGACATAATTTTTTTTCTAAAAAGATAAACATAATTTGAAACTTGACTCAAGCATTATAAAGTAACCACACTGTATTTATGAGTAAATGTTTCACTGATTTTTTCCCTCTTTTCACCATCTGGAACAAGAGAAAGAGCACACCTATTCTGTGACATGCAAAAAAAAATTTTCTGAAAAAATAATGAAATTGTGGGGTTCACTGTCTACAACTCATCATCTCTCAACCACAGATCCGGCAAGTATTTCACTAACAATCAAGAATTAAGATCCCTAGCAGTAGAGCGCAGGGTTTTGGCTTGACCTTGCATACTTAATCACACGTGCAGAAGTGTTAATCAATACAAAGCTCTGTCTCCTCCTCCTCATGCTAGGAAAAACTCACCTGTCTGAACTTGGAATCTGTTATCTGGCACCGTGAAAGAAGGATGCAGTGAGAGGATCAGGGGGGCCTCACCACGAAGAAGACTGCTGTTCACAAGGACATTTATGACAGCTACTGCCGTGTAAACAAAAGGACCTGATGTCACCAAGAAAGCAAATTTGGGGGAAATTTTATAAACCTACAAAAAAAAAGAAAGAATTTTTTTTTTTTTTTAAATCTTCTATGCGAAATTTGGCAACACTTTAGAACTGCATAGTCTCACACATTTCAAAGACACATCATCAAGAGGTAGGAAAATGCAACCTTTGTTTTTCAGAGAGAGAGCAGAAGCATAAACTCTGACAGTGCTGTGCCTCACACCCTCTGCTCCAGAGCAGAGAGGCACCTCCCCTGTGCTAGGCGCACCTACTACAATCTTCAGTCCAACACCCCAATCTCAACACTTCCTGATTTACCACATCCCAGCATAGTAGCACTCCCCCTCGCCTGCATTTCCCTGGAGTACATGAGTTCCTGTCTAAAATTGCTGTTTACTTACTGAACCGCCTGCACAGCTTCTGCATTTCAGTCATATACTGCATAGCAAATACATCCCCTACCATTCACATGTGATACACAAGAAGCAAAATACACGTAACCTGTGGTTTATGGACACAATTTTCACACTCAGAAATGCCAGAGGAGGCTTCTAGCTGCTTATTTCAGCACAGTTACCACAATTACAATTTCCCTCTTCCAATTCACTGACTTTAAGTCTTCCTGAAGACCCTGAGGAGCTGGAGTCATTATGTAAAAGAAATGAGATTGTAAGTTAAATATAAGCCTAGGTGAACGTTTCCATGCAGACACTCTTACCCCCAATTTCTCTGTCACCTAAGTAAAAACAAACTGAAGGCTTTTATTTATTTAAACATATTGCAGTGTCTTCTCCACTTCAGAGAAATACTCTCTATATCAAGGACATCTGTCTCCCCAGCACTACTTTTCCCCCTTTGGTTTACTCCCCCAGTTTGCTTTATTTGCCTAAGATATTTACACTAAAATATTTTAAGACATCGAGCATGATGGCCTCACAAATAAAAAACTAACCTAAACCAGAGACACACAGGTTCTGATAAATGCACATCTCTTAGATGAAGGGATGTAGCACCTTGCAGGCTCTGTGCTGGTGAAAGGATGTTAGATATCCTCAGCTTCAGGATCAGCCATACAGAAAAACACAGTGCTACTTAAATTGTGACCCACACGTTTCTTACTGGTATTTCTCCAACAGTGTAAAATGATGGCAATTGCTGTTTAAACGAGACATCAAGCAGCTCTTTCCTGTCCTCTAAAAAACACGTATTTTCAAAGAGATCATCTTCACCAAAAGAAAATACCGCAGTAGCAGGAAGAAATGAAAAAATAATCTAAGCTGCTCATTATTCCTTTTTTCCTTCTTAGTCCACAAATATGTGCTGCTCACAGCTTTTATTTTAAATTAATTTAGAGCCACAGAACTCAAATTTGTTTGATATAAGTAATATGCACAGCTCTTCTTAGTTCCTCTTATCTGAAATTTTATCCTTTTATCTCAGGATGAAATGATCTCCGCAGCTTCAGTTCGTCAAATGGGAACAGCAGTTATAATGGGTAAGACATGCAAAAAGAAAGTTGTCCATGACTGCAAAGGAGACTACTTAAAAGGCAAGAAAAAGGAATTAGAATTACAAATCTCAGTGATAATTTGACGGTGACTTATACTTCTGCACAAGAGTCAGGTATTTCAGGCAAGAAAGCAAACCTCTGACAGCTAACCCAGCTGTCTCCATCTCTGACCTGTTGCACTGCACCATGGATGCAGTGAAAGCAACCTACCCCAAACCACTACAGGTCAAAACAATAGCTATTTCTGCTTGGGGTACTGCAGCAGTTTCTACAACCCAGTTCTGATGACAGAAATGACATAGCCATGCCAGCACGGTGATGAGTACAAGATAGTTCTCCAAAGTTGTCTAGGATAGATGAGGATAGCTCAGGACTCGTGACTCATGAATGAGAATAGCTCCACTTGGTACAGCTCTAACCCTTCACAAACCCAGCCGTCCATCCAACCCTCTCTTGGAGGTTTCACCTTTACTACCAGGGCAGCCAGATGCTAACAAAGTGCCTTGTTGAACCGCCACGTTTTAGAGTGCCGCCTATTAAAGTAAACAAGTACAAATGCCTGTCTTAAATTAACACGATGGGCCGTAAAGCTGGAGCAGCACAGAAAACTCCACGTGCACTTTGGAGCCGTTCCCACAGCGAAACCAGAAACCTCTGGCAGGAGCAGAGAACCCTCACACCATCTGAAGTTAGGCTATCCCTTCTCCAAAGTGCAACGGCTAATCCAACTCCGCAGAGCCCAGGACACAACCCATCCCATTCAAGGCCACCCTCACAAGAGGGAGTGCTTCTAGTACAGAAAGTTTTCAAGCCTCGATTTACTAGAGGCTAGAAGAGTATCTGGGGAATACACTGCTGTATGCTTACTCTGTCCCTTATGATGCTCCCTAAGCATTTGCTATTGATAAAATATTTGATTAGATACACCTTTGCTACAATGTAATCCACGCCTACACTCCACTGTAATATGTTGTGTAAACATCTGGTAGAAAGCATAAACAACAGATTTCCTCACCACCACCTTATTAAGCATCCTGTAAAGAGCCTGCAGAGAGCATTTAACTTCCTGAAGATGGGCTGCAAAGGCTCACAGGTCTTAAAAATGAAACAAAGCTTCTGCTTCTACGCACATTAAGGTCCTAAGACAACAATTCTCTCACTGGTTTTATGCACTTATGTGGTACCAGCCAGAATTTCAGCAGCGGTGACGCCAGAGCAAGTCCATGAAGTGGCACCTTCAAAGTAAGTATTTAACTTCCTGACAGTGAACTGATCTCCTTAACTTTGAAGGCAGGGGGTTTAATCCATTGGTTTGGATTATAGAAACCAATACCCTAAGGACAGGCCATCATAAAATCACCAAGCACAAACTGAGCTGGCAAAAAGGTTTTTCCTGTTGGCATGAACTTAACGGCACCAGGGGTCCTGGCAGTGAGGCACTGCCAACACGATTTTATTTCACACCCCAGTGCAACAAAGCGAAGTCAAGGGAACATTGCATAACAGATCTTAACAGAGTGTCATAAGGTTTACATTAGAAAAAGCTGACAAAAATCGCTCTTATTCAAACAATAGAGTCTTATTGTTTTGCAGATGCAATACATTGAGACCAACTGGAAAGAACTTTAAAATTTTAGGTTATTCTCACTTTGCTGTAAGGGATTTCACTAGAAAAAAAAAAATGGACAAAAGTCTTTTTCATTAGGCAGGATTCAAGCCTGCCTCCTTTTGTTTTCTTCCACTTCAACAACTCAGAATGTTGAAATAATAAAGAAGCAGAGACCAAAGTTTCAAAGATGGGTAAAAAAAAAGTTTTAATTCTCCTTTCAGTGTTAAATTTGGTTTGTATTTAAAGTGAGCAGTGGTTATATCCACCGTTACCATGGATTTTATTTTTAAAGCATACATTACTACCAAGTTAAAGTTAACAAGACTGTCTCCTGATTTACTGTGCATTACATCACACCAAGGGAACAACATCTGTGAGCTGCAATAGGAGACACAGTAAAAAAGCAGCTTACAGACGTGCACAGCTTTAGCATAAATTGCAAATGTACACACGGTTCCTGGGTACTCTCGACTAACAAAAGTCAGCTCTGTTTGATTAACTTAGCTTAGCAATATGGACAAATTGTATTTTAAATTTTGCATTACGTCACCATTAAACGTGCCAATACTCTTGACAGCTCTTTATTTAAAGTAACAGTTTTGTTAGTACTTCATCGTTAGAGGTGAAAACATTTGCTAGTGATTATTTTTAGTGCAAAACCCATACCCAAAGAACACATATGACAGCAGCATTCTAGCATAAAATAAGCATAACTGATTCCACAGAGATGTTTCTTCCTTTTGATAAAAAAGAATTTGCAAAGAATGGAGCTGGGCTAACTGCATTATTCATAAAAACAATTGCTTCTGAGCAGCCTCAGGGCCAAAATATCCTGTTGAGAGCTTTACAAGGCAATAGTGGGCATGAAAGGAAGGAATTTAAAGGGCAAAAATATAAAGAAGCAAGATATCAAATGTTGGCTCCAATCAACCTTCAAATATTTAGCAACAGATTTTGTCTTACTGCTGTTACTGTTAAGAGGATAAGTGCTTCCATATCGCTGAGACATATAAGGTCACTGAAAATTAGTGTAGTTCTATCTTCATGAACTTTTGACTTCTACTCGACTATGCCAGTTTGCACAATCTGAACATGTAATTCACAAGCCAGAAGAAAAATCGCTTATTTACAAAAAACCCTAAAAAAAGCTTATGGGCAGGTATTGCTAATAGGACCTAAACAAATATAATTTACAGTGGCAGCTCGCCGTGGCTGATGTTTGGCAGTAATTCGTAACGCTCCCATCCTGACTGAGTAGTAAAGAGGTATATTCTCAAACAGCAGACAGGAGTTGTTTAATTACCGAGTGCAGTGATTATAGCAGGAGCTGTCAAGTTTCCCCGTAGAGAACGGGAAGCAGAAGACAGAGGATTCCGTGCACGGAAAACTCAAGTTATGTTCAAAATTCAAACTGCTACTTGAGTAAACTTCATCATGAAAATGAGATCACTGACTCAAAAAAGTAAAATAATGTGGTGCTGGTCTATCGTGACTGGATAAACACAGACATGAAAAATTGCAAGTGCAGCTGAACCTGCACCTATTCCAGTAAGTCCATTAAAACATTTCATTTTGTCTCCAGTGTTGAAGTATCTGACTACACAACAAAGGTACCCCCAAACCACCTTCACAGTCTTTTCCTCTTAAAGTCAGGGAATAGAGCCTTTAAATCCCATCTCAACCAAACACTCACTGTGAGGTTAGGCAACAACACTGAAATGTTGTTCGAAGATGACTGTGAACTTCAAAGCAGAGGAAGCTTTCAAAAAAAACCACAACCCAAGAGCACAGCAATTCCTAGACCTGTGAGTGGCAGAAGGACAAGAGTCACACCTATTTGAAGGCTTAAAAATAACATCTTGCCATTGCACACCTGATTTTTTTTCTCCCCTGACTTTTTCATCTGCCAAATCCTGCACCTGGGATTCCACCACTCTCCCTGCAACTGCTGACGGCCTCACTTCCAACATGAAATAGCACAAGGCTGTGCAGAGGGTTTTGTTCTGTTTAAGGTGCTAAGTATATTAATCAGCTAGCAGAAGAAACAAAACTTTTAAACAGCTATTTTGAATGCTGAAAGTTTTTCAGTTCAGTTTCAATTCACCAGCCAAAGGAGGTGAGCAGTAGAGGCTAGGCACTGCTTGCACACGTCTGGCAAAACCAAGAAAGGTCTGTCCTAGAAAACTATGACATTCTGAAAGTAAAGAAGCTGATGTAATATTCACTTCAAATAAAAAAACAAGCAAAAACCAAACCATGACTAACGTTTAAGTTAGAATAAACCCCTCATATTTATAAACAACCCACATGGGTTGTTTATAAATCACCATTTTAGCCTGTGAACTAAAACCACTATTGCATTATATTGATCAAAGAGTACTTGTACACACTTCATACCACTTACCTCTAGCTCTACTGATCGCCTGAACTGAACTCTGAGCACTTCTCTGATGGATTCACTGACATTTTGTAGAACAGCTCTTCGGGCCAGCACTGGAAATTAATGTCAGTCAGTAAATACACTTTAGCTTCATCTCTTGGGCTTTGGTTCAAAGCTTCATTTTCAATTGTGCAATGCATGAAAAAGCAAGCAATGAGGTCAACTGCATCAAACAGGTAAGATGATGGACAAGGAAACAGGTAAAGGTGTGACTGTATCCTAAAAAGTGACTGTACACGAAGTTGAAGGAACTCCAGGTTTATTTTCTCTCCCGTTTTGTTTTTCCATATCTAATGTCTTTCGCATTCCAGTAAAAGCATCTTCTAAAGAGCCACCGAGGCATTCAAACTGGATCTGAAAGTGGCAGCACATTCAGTCTGACCTGCGCACAATGAGCCTGCTGTCGTAACACAGTTAAGGTTCTGTAGGCAATGCATGGAATGCAGATGAGGTCAGAAAAAAGCCACAGAAAATATGCATCTGCTTTTCTCTTAAAAAATAAACAAATATGACATGGCTTACTGAAAGGGATGTTCACCAAGTAAGAAATTGCTTTAAAAACCTCACATCCCTACGATGTCATGTCTGCTACAGTCACACTTGAGACTGTGATTAAAGTCAAGGAAACAACTGAAAAGTGTCATGGTGTCATCCTGCATTTATCTTTCATCAGAAACTTGTAATTTGACTAGTTTTATAGGCAAGTTTAAAAAAAAAATCTTCCTCATCAACAGCATAGCTCACCTTCCTATCTGGAGGATGAGATTATGCTCATTCTGCTTTGAGTATCACAAGTAAATCTTAAGGGCAAAATGCGTTGCTTACCACAGAACATGCAGCACTTCTGCAGCTGCCCTGGATTAGTTCGCTGGTATTGTTTTGTTAACAAGCTAGGAAGAGGTAGGAAAACACCAAAAAAGCAAACACAGATGCTGAGACAATTAATTTTGAAACACACTAACATCACTTTTTCTGGTTACAAACACACCAAATCCAGTTGAAGTAAGTATGGGAGGAGGGAAAATATAAACAGATGCTAGTATGGTAAAATTATAAAAATGGTAACGAAACTCAAACATTTCTTAAACACTCTCCTCTTTCACATTACAACATTACCTCACATGCAGGTTTTTACAAACAGCAGCAACAACTGAAAGGAGAAACTTACTCAGTCAGAACATTTAAACGTTTGGCAGAACAGTACCATGACAGTAACATTCATTTACAGCCCATGAGATGATAAACCAGCCTCTGTATCAGTGTACTTGTACAGACACATCAGCAACTTTAGAAGGCAGTTTCATTCCCTGTGCAGTGTAATGTACATGTAACTCACTGTCACAACAGACTTGGTTCAAGTGAATTCTATTATTTCCAAGAGTAAATGATAAATCAATGCCTTTACAGCTGCTTGTCTGAATTTACACCATATTTATTTGAAAGGTTCACTTAGCTAATTCAACACCTGCAATTTAGCTAGGGGGTCACAGAAACATAGAATGGTTTGGGTTGGAAGGGACCTTAAAGACCATCTAGTTCCAACCCCCCTGCCATGGGCAGGGACACCTTCCACTAGACCAGGTTGCTCAAAGCCTCATCCAGCCTGGCCTTGGACACTTCCAGGGATGGGGCATCCACAGCTTCTCTGGGCAACCTGTGCCAGTGCCTCACCACCCTCTCCGGGAAGAACTTCTTACCTGCAGTGACTAAGTAAGCATCAGGAACCGTGATGTCGCAGACATAGGGTTGCCTCGTAGTGGTCACACCAGAGGTCATGACCCCAGGGTCAGATGGAGTAGTGGTTGCCAAAGGGGTGGAGGAGAATGTCCCCAGGCTGCCTGCAGCAGTCGTGTCGCGGCTGCCCGTGGCACCAGTGGCTGTGGTCGTGGGGACAGTGGTGGGAGCACCTGACGGATCAGTACCAGCAGTTACGCTGCTTCCTGCTGGAACTTCAGTGGGAGGGCTGGAAGTCGGAGGAAGCTGCGTGGGAGCAAACAACGTGGTCCCTGACAGAGATGCTGTAGGAGAGGGCATCACGCTGCTGGTGTTGGCATGGAGCGTCAGGCTGTCAGGGTCTGTGGGAGGAAGGGCTGTGTGGGCACTGCCCTCACTGCGAGATGTTAGAAGCAGCGTGGGGTTAACTGTAGCACCAATATCCTCATCAGAACCCAGAGCAGTTGAGAGCAGAGATGAAGACATATTTAAGACTGGAGTTGCTGAAGTGGTAGTAAACAAAGAGATCAGACTTGTTTCACTGAGCAAGATGCTGCTGGTAACAGTCCAGGTGTCAGACGTGGGCAGCACCAGGGCAGGAACCACAGGGTGAGAGGTGGAGAATGAAGGCTCCAGCTGAGAGGTAGCTCCTGTAACAGCTGAGGTAAACACAACTTCAGAGCTTGCTGCCGATACTGAGGGCACTTCCAGAAACACAGACGACGCTGAGTGAAAATCAGATGACGGTGTTATTTCAGGAACATGTGCAGCTGGAACAGAGGAGGCATTTGAATAAAAGTGTGATGTTTGGCCAAGAGGGAACTGAGAAACCTCGGTGTCAGTGTCAGAGCTGACAGCAGCACCTAACTCCCAGCTGGAAACATCCTCAGAAAGTACTGATGTCCCAGTCAACAAGGTCTGAGGTAAGAATGTTGATAAATCACCTTGCACGACAGAGTAAGAACTTAGCATGGCTGATGATAAAGACAAGTAGCTGGGTTCAATAAGAAATGGTGTTGATAAAAGACTGGATGGAAATTCTGAGTTATTTAAAGACTGTTCTTCCCTTGTAGATGTCTTGTCAAGCAAAACTACAGATTCTGATGGCATTAATTCTAGTGACTCCAGCAAAGTTGTACGGCCAACTGCAAACGATGCTACCGACTCATTCGGGATGAACGGAGAGTCAAGCAGGACAGTGGTGGCACGAGGAAGTTCTACGTGAGTGCTTGGTGTCACCAAAACTGTTTCCAGAACAGGAAGGGAAAACTGGGCAGAAATGTTCAGTGATGGTTCTCCAGGGAGCTGGTAGTAGGAAGGAGAAATTGTTATAGGTGTTCTAGTGTCAAGGACAGCGTCCGCAGTGCTTAATAAAAACGTGCTTGAATCGGGGGTTTCTGCAAATCTTGAAGAAAATGAAACAACTGGTCTTGATGGAAAAGTAGTATCAAAAACATCAGGTGTAGGCTCATCTAATTCATACCCGTCAGCAATTATAGTTGTAAATGGAGTTATGCCTTGTACTTCAGAGGCTTTGATAGACAAAGTTTCAAGATAATCGCCTGAGCCCACATCATTTTCTGGGGAAAAGCCTGCTTCTGGCAGAAGTGAAACTGAGTCACAATACAGACAAGAACTGTATGATCTCGTGAAAGGCACTGGACTCGTGAGCTCACTCACAAGCTCTGATTGACTTGGTATTTCTGAACTAGCAAGCAAATTTGGTGTTGTCCTGGAGAATTCAGATGTAAACAGGCTGGCATTAAGAACCATATCAGAGTCTGTGGGAATGGCAGCTGAGTGAAGGGGGTAAGACGTCGGTGGAAGACTAGTAGGGAACAAAGCAAGCTCAGCAGTGGCTGCTGAAGTTGGCGTGACCCAGGGAATGCTTGGACTGCTTGGACTGGGGTAGGGCCTTACACCAAGAGTTTCTGCTGCCCTGGTACTCACGTCGGTGTAAACATCACCATACAGATCTGCACTTTGTGCTGTAGCATCTGGGGACGCAGGGCGACTTTTATCCAGCCGCTCAGGATGAAGAGGCAACCCTTCCGAAGCAGGCCCAAAAGGCAGAGCTGTTAAACTTGCATTTATGTTTTCCTGCTCCGCAACTCCTGCCTCTGAAGGAATGGAAGCGAAATAAATAGCTGTATTTGGAGGGTGCAATGGCAAGTCTTTGCTTGCAGTTAGCATTTCACTATCTGGTACAAAAGGCTTCAATTCTGTAAGAGCGTTACTGTGTTCAGGGACAGCGCTCCTTAGAGTCTTTTGCTGTGCTGTTTTTGAGATACCATATGGCGAAAAAAGCTCAGGTAACAAAGGGGTTAGCAACAGTGTTTCTAAAATTTCTCTTGGTGGCTCTACCGTATTAACTGAGTGATGATCTGTTAAAGCTGCAAAAGACTTCAGGGGAGGAGTCCACTGTGCCTTTGGAAATGAGCTAACGAATTCACCGTCACTTAAGAACGCCTCATTGCTTGTTACGGAGGCATCTACCAGCGGCGTACTTCTCCCTTCCGAAATCCTCACCGTTTCTTCTGGGTTAAATAAAGTCACATCCAAGGGAGTGGTAACTGATGACAAAACTGTTCGAAGGAAATTACTTTCTTGGGACTCCAAAGTACTTTTTGCTAAGGCCATTTGTGTCCTGCTGCCTGATATGCTTTGGTGCACCTTTGAGTCCATTGAGAAAAAGGAAAAATTTTGCTGCTCCAAGGATGTCTCATCTAAATCAAGAGGGAGAGAGAAAAACAAAAACCATCACATTAGCACAAGTAGTACGATTGCAATGAGCAAACCTCACGCACAGCATTTCTGGAGACAACTGCCCAGAATTCAAGGGCTAAGCCAAAAACTCTTGGTAAGTGAAAAACCTCCATCAGTGAGTCGGCACAACTAGTACAATTCCCCGTGAAACAACATTCCCTGGAAATGAGCAGGACAACACAAGCTCCTCTCACTCTGCACCTACTCGTCTCTCTACAGCAGCACTGCAGCGAGCCCCATGGAAGGACAGAAAGTGGCTCCCTCTTACTTGTGCAAGGCTCCAGTGCATGGCAGCTAATGGTCACACCAAGTAAACACACCAAAAAAGGGTAACAGAACAATGCAGGGAAAAATCCTGTGTAACTTTAGGTCCCCTGCTTTCCTCTAGTATAATTTCATTTTCTCTGGTTTTATTATATCTTAATATTAGGCTCACTAGCAGATCTGTTCTGTTTCAAAGACTAGACCCTGCCAGCATCAGAAATGAGTGACACTTAGGAGAGATGAAGAGAAGTTCCCTTCACATACGGCGAGTGTGGATCTGGTATCAACGGCAAGGATTTTCTAAGTAACATGTCCAGTAATTGCATTTACATTGTCAGCCATTCATTTAACTTCTCGTCTTTTAGCAGTCAGTGACAAACTCCTTCATTACACAACTGCCATCTTTATTCACAACCTAGTGCAGGAGTACTCTGTTTATAGGCCACCTGCAATAAAACTTTCACTGCTCCCATTCGCAGAATTCAAGTAGTAATAGCCAGGTTGGAACACAAAGAAGAAAAAACTAAGAATTCACCAATATTTTAACAAGCTACTTGCAAAAATCATGTATATCATTTGCATAACTTGCCTATAATTCCTCCTCTCTCTCAAAAGTGTTCTTGGGTTACAGAGAAGATCTGTACATAAGCTTTTTCCAACCATGGAAGCATTTTGCAGAGAAAAGGCTGATTATTGCTTGAGTACTTTTCTGAAATGTCAGGACTGGATTAGTAGCCTTCTGAGCCGAATGTTAAAGAAAATCACAGAAAATTGCTGCCGGATATTTTTCAACAATACACACAATGGTTTCATCCTTATATTATCCATCCCACCTAATCATTCCGTTTTCATATGGGAGTATCCATGCAGTGCTGCTGGAACCTATGGACAATACACATTAAAAAGGCTGGGGGAGGGCTGAGGCGGAGGAATCCCACTCAGTTAAACCAGCAGGGACCAGTTTAAAATGAAAAGGAGCATACACAGTAGAAAGTGCCAGACAGTGATACAGTACACTGCTCAACTGTAACTACGTTTGTAACTCTTTAGAGGATGCCTTGAACTCAGTAACCCATGGCACATCTTGCAGGAATAGCTCACCTATCTGTTACACACTGTTGTCAGCCTAACAACACTTCCCAGGTGATAAACTGCGTACTCATCCCTCCTCCCTGGTCTGTTTGCTAAATTCCTTGACACAACTTTTCAAGCACTGACACACTGATTTGGTAAGTTTTGCATCTGCTGATCTGAAAAGCACAATTACAAGAATTAACGCACAGAGCTAATAGCACTGTTGCACTAATCATACCTAATCAAATATGAACGCTGTGATAATATAGTTTATTTCACAGATCCCACACACAGTGTTTTGCCACATAACAGATACTCTTCTGCCAAGTAGTCCCAATCCATTTTTTTCCTCCTGAAACTCACTGTAGGCACTGCCAGCTTTATGATGGTTAGTTGTGGTGTGATCATAAAATATGCTGCTTTACAAAGCTCTCAGGGAGGAGGGAAGAAAAGACAGGTAGACGCTTGTAAAAGCTATATACAAGAAATATACAGGTCCATCCTTGACTTCTTCCATGGAGGTCAGCCATTGGAACATGGCACAGTGCAGCACAGTACAGCAACGATGGAATAACAGTTTTCACAAGCAGTTAACATGGATAACAGAAAAAGCAGTTTCTAGCAAGCACAGACCCTGAGCCAGCTCTGATTGCTGACCAAAAGCTGTTTCATGTTTTCTCCTTGCAAAGTCTCCCTAGCCTCCCCCTTTCCTTTGACATAGGCTTCCAGTCTTCACCTTTCCCTTTGTAACATTCTGAGTAAGAAGGGAGTTACTAAAGGAAACAACTTAGATGGTTATGAAATAAACACTGCCAAAATTAATCCCTTCTCTCCCTATAGGCATGCACAACTCCTGTTAGCCAGCCCTGTAAAATCCTGTCCACTCCAGTCACACTCTAGACACCCGCCACTTGCTTACAGCGAACTGAAGATTGCAGGCAAACAGGCTGACAGATACAGTTCTTCCTGTCCATCACCCCTTTGTACTGTAAACCCCTGCAGCAGTAACGCCAGACAACTGCGTTCACTTCAACGCAGTAAGCACCGCACACATGGAATCGCTACACAAGAGGTACTATGACTAGCAAAGGTGCACTTTTGATCATGTGTCTTTGACCCAAAGCTAGAGGTGATTCCACAAACAAACCAGCTTCACTGCCTATACTGTGTATCATCACCTTCACCCAGAGAGCTCCCTCGATCTCTGTTCAGTTTGACAGGGGAGCTGTCAAGGCAAGACCCTGCTGGAAGTGACCTCACATCACAGAAAGCTGAAGAGTTAGGTGCACCACCATAAGCTGTCCTCAAGACACGCGTAAGGGGCAAGGGCAGTATTGGCTTTCAACTCATTCTGACTTTAAAATTAGGTTTTTCTTAATGGTATGCTAGTATTTTCTCCTTGAAAGACAAAGTAATAGAAAATAATTTTATCATACACCTGTACCACTTAATGTAAAGAGCCTTGCCACTGACACCAAGAAGGAAAGAACACAGCTCAAAAAAGATGTTTCCTTTTTCTGAGGAAAACACTTCATGTCCTGAAAAGAAGTTACAGGCTGTAAGATAAGGTAAGAGCACTCCTACCTGAGATAAGTGGAGTGGGAGAAATCCACTTGTGCACTGGAAAAGGCTGCCCAGGGAAGTGGGGGAGTCACCATCCCTGAAGGTAGTTAAAAGACACGTGGATGTGGCAGGTAGAGATATGGTTTAGCAGTGGACTTGGCAGAGTTAAGTTTACAGTTGGCCTTGATGACCTTTAAGGTCTTTTCCAACCTACGTGATTCTACCATGCTATACAGGATATTGAAAAAATACTTGGCAGCAAGCCGATGTTCCACGCTATGTGCTTTGCATAGCATTTTAGAAGCAGGGAGCGTTAGTGACATGCCATTAATAATACAAATTATTGTTTTCTGTCGTGTCCGGAAGAAGGGTGTACTACTTGAACACTGCTTGTCAGAACCGTGCGCGCCTCGTGGAGAGCAGATGGGACGCGCAGCAGATGTGCCCAGGAGCAGCCAGACAGCCCACAAAGAGGAAGGGAAAGCAAAGGAAAAAGGGAAGGAGGCGAAGACGCACCATGGCCTGACAATCACGGCCTCATCAGCGCAGAGCAGCCGATCTGGCTATGCTGTGGGACAAAGGAAGCAGACAGATTGCACACGTTCTGGTGTACCTCGATGCCACAACTGCACAAAGCTATTGATGAATATCAATGGTGACTTGTTTGTTTGCACAGCTGCTGTCGTTGGGTGACGGTTTCACCATCCAGCAACCGTACAGCCGTTGAGCTAGGCAACGCTGACAGGATGACAATCAGACAAGCCAAACTCTGCCAAGCTGATAACGCTGCACAAAAGAATAGCTAGCTTAGGAAGCAAAGCTGTGATCCCAAGCTACGGCAAAGGGGAGAGCCCTTGTGGCAGGGGCCACGGAAGGCACAGATGGCACCAGTACAATGCCTCAGCTCTGACAACAGCATTCGGACTCGGGAGGAGTGACAGCATAGCTAATGTGCTGACAGGTTTGGGGTGGTGAACTCGCTGAGGCTTCTGCTGCCCCCAAAAACAGGTAAGAGCCTGAACAGAACTCACAAGTAGTGAAACCTCTCGCTGAACACAAGGACCCCTTCACTGCCAAACCCATACTCACAGAAATACGGCCATGCACCATTAGCGCTGGCGCAGACTTGTGTGAATTCGGGAAGGGCCACAGCACCAGGACAGCACTTTCCCATGACTACAGAAAAGGGCTACCATACAGACTTCTTTGGTGACAATAAATACACCGTGTCAGCTTGCCAGAAAGCTGTGTGCGTTCATAAGCCAGGAGCTAGACTAGTCATTTTTCCAGAAAGTAATTAGAGGGATGCAGTTTTCATCCTTCCTGTAGCTGCAGTGCTGAAAGGTAATATCTGTTCTATAGTCTATAATAAAGTAAAAAAGGATGATTTCCAAAAATATATGTTTGTAGTAACATATACATATACTTTCATATTTCCTTATTTTGTTTCTTTATAAGTATACTTTCACGTATTTGTAAAAGCAGAGTCTAAGACCTAATCTCACTTCTGCCACTGATCTTTCATGCAACTTCAAAAAAAGTCGTTATCACTCTTCTGCACTCTACTGTTAAAACGTGGCATTTGTACACTATCACAACTATCAACATCTACTATAACATAGGTACTTTCCTATAATATAAAGATGTTAAATTATAGATGATAGGTACAGGCATGACAATAACAAATACAACATAATTCTTTACTTGTGATAAAATTAAACCTTGAGAGTAGAAGTAGTAATTTTTGCTCTATTATTTTTTATAAACTAAGTAATAGCAAATTAAGTTTCCAAACATCAGGAAGTGCCAGCAGTGTAGGAGCAAAACAGTTCAAAATGTACATCACTTCAAAGAAAAAAAAAATCTTCTGTGTACTATCACAATGATCTAAATAATTAAATTTTAGTGCCTTTATTTTTTAGGCAAGGAGAAAAATTGCTCTTCTATTGCTGCCCCACTGTTTCAAACAGGCATTTTAGGCAGACAGGCAACCGATGCTACATGCTTTACAAGTATTA